TACCTGTGATTGGCGCTGAGGCGCTATGCAAAAATGTGAAGGCACCACTGACAAAGCAAGAAGGCACCCTGGCTGAGAAAAAGGCTGAATTAAAAAAAACATATTTGTATGTAAAGTAGACTTCATTTAAAAGCTTCTAATATAAGTATAAAACATTTCAGCTTGCATTTTGGATTCTGTAACACCCAATCAGGTTAGAATCTCTTTAATTGGTGGCCATATGCCGAATGATACAACCACTCAAACTAGCAATTGTTTCACAGAAAGAGCTGGATTGTTCAGACGCTGATTGCATTATATGGGTGCTGCCAACAATCGTTTTTTAAATCAAAATGTAACATTCATCCCTTATTAGCAAATGCAGTAAAATGAAGCCAAATCAATCTTTCATCATTTTCATGGGCTGGATCTTCGGAATCAAAATGTAGTTAACCGTTTATTATGTGTATAGGTCTATGGCCAGCAGAAATCTAAAGCTCACAAGCCCCAGCTGTCTAGCTTGTCATGTTTGTATAAGAATGAAATAATGAAGGTGGTGCTTTATATCTATTCAGAGTTTTAATTGAATTCCCGGACTGAAATAGATGTGCTAGTCTGCCTGGCTTTGGAGAGAATACAAGGTGACATGCATGACTAGCAGTGACATATGTTAGGAGCAATCAACTCCTTCTCTACCCTACATGATAAATGAATGCGGCATTCATTTACTTATCACTTTCTATACAGTCATCTATTTCTGAAGACCGCTGACAGGCATTCAAACAATGACAAGTATCAGAGTGACACTGTATAACAGCAAAACGTGTCTGCTCCCTACTAAATTGTATTGCTATATTCATCTCTATCACAGACACCTCAGGGAGATGCAATGGTACAGGCAAACAGTTCTAAGAAGCAGCTTCTACTTTTTTTTCTTTGTAAGAAGAATATAACATTTATGTGTCGTCCTATTTTTCTGAAGAGCAAATTTATAGTGCAGAATCATTAGTTCTGTGTGACGTGATCAGCGCAACTGCATACGATAAGTGTCAAGACTGCCAGATTTTCGGTCCATGCATTTCTAGCAATGCCCCTGCAGTGAACTGGCATGCTTTCTGGTAATCTATGGCAATATTTCTGCTGCAACCGCCTTTCTAATAGCATAAAGCAATGTCAGCAATGTTAGCATCCTACTGAAATTCCTTTTTAAATAAACAATTTCACTCTCTTCTCTAATGCAGGCCTGCTCAAACTTTTTTCACTCGCGACCCCTTTTTGCCCGAGGACATTTTTACGTGACCCCAGGCATTGATATGCCTTGCATTCCGTGCGGCCGATCGCATTGCGACCAGAGGGGTGGCTGCGGTGCCATTCGCTTCACTGCACTGTCACGCCCCCTCCCACCGCTGAACAAATTGAGCTAGCCAAATGCAATCCAGTGCGTTCTGGCCACAATCGGGTGGATGGTGTGAACTAGCCCTTAAGGAGCAATTCACATCAACTGCAGTGTGTTCCAGAGTGGTAACTGCTGGGACGCACAGCAATTGCTCACTATACTCCCCCATTCTTGCGCGGGAGGGGGCGTGACGGTGCATTGAAGTCAATGGCACCGCAGCCACGCCCCCCTGCCCGCTGTGCGATCAGACACATGGCAAAAAAAATGTCCTGCGTTCTGGTCCACTGCTAAGGAAAAAAATGCTGTATGCTATATTTTTTCCATTTGCAGTGGACCGGAATGCAGGCAATGTTTTGCCATGCGTCTGATCGCACAGTGTGGCTGCAGTGCCATTGACTTCAATGCACCGCCATGCCCACTCCTGCCCCAGAACGAAGGCGGAACTTCAGTGAGCGATTGCTGTGCGTTCCAACAGTTGCCACTCTGGAATGCACCGCAATTTGTGTGAATGGGCCCTAAGTATTTGTCCAGCAATCCCAAGAAATGTAACAATTTCCAGTATTATCTGTGTCCCCCAGACTGTCTTACAGGATCCACAGCAACAATGTAGAATGGTATTGTGGTGCACCCAGAACTAAATTAATGTTAATGCTCTCCCCCTTCCATAGCCCCCCCCCCCCGGGTCGATCGGTGTGCGTCTCCCCCCCCTCCGGGATGTCTGCTGGAATAAATCGACCTTTCCCCTTCAGCAGCTCCATGTGCTCTACTCCTGCCTGATGCTTCTGCCGCGTAAAAGAAAGCTCCATTCCCTGCACATACTCAAGAAGGTAGATAGCAAGTGCACAGGGGGGTCCGGGACCTTTACAAATACACTTCACGTATTAATGTATAAACAACAAAAAACTTGCTTGGAGCCCGGGCCACCCCGGCCGCCTGGGCCCTTCACACAGTCACTGGCCATATGGGGTCGCGACCCAGTTTAAGAAGGTCTGCTCTAATGTATGCCCCCCACTTACACTGATCTAGCTTCCCCTAGCGTTAAAAAGAAGTATGTTCTAGAAAGTTTTCCTGTGTTTTTGTCTGTGTTGTAAAGTAGTCACCGCTCCAAGCAAATGTATAAACTAAACATGAGATTGTAGTCCATCACGTTCTCAAAGACTCAACAACTACCTCCTCATGTATCACTTCCCCCTCCTCTTTTAGATTGAAAGCCTTCAGAGGCAGGGCCCTCCTTTCCACCTTGTCTTGAATTGTATTGTGATTGTACTGTCTTCCCTATATTGTAATGTGCAAACTGTTGGCACTATATAAATACTATGTAATAATAATAATAATAAATAATAATAATAATAATAATAATAATCATACCTGCCATCTAACTAAGGTATTTTATTAGAGAAAAAACAGCTTTTCTTATGCAGAATGGCTGTAAGTAAACTGCAAGATGAAAACTGTCCAAAAGTCATAGTGAACTATAAACAGTAAAAATACAATTGTGGGTGGAGTACTTCCTGAACACATTACATTTACTGTATTTAAATCGGTTCCGCTTCAGGTTATTTTTTTCTAACACTAGTGGCTGTGTGGGAGGAAGTTTAGCTTTGCATTAAAAGAAACCTTGCTACAGAAATTGCTTTCCTGCCTAACGTCAACCTACTTGTTTCAATACTTATTGTCACTAACCTGGTACAAATATGCAGATATGGACTTGTTGCTTTAAGCCCCGCTAACAATTGAGGCCGATTGTAGGATTCTCACAAATTCCTCTGTGAAGCTGGCCATACACCTTACAATTATCTGCAGATTTTCTGTGGTCAGGTGGAAAAGGTGCAACAGATTCCTCAATCTACACTTAACTGTGTGGATGTAGTAATCTCCACCTGGGCCAAGCTGTTGCACTTTTTCAATCTGACCACAGAAAATCTGCAGATAATTGTAAGGTGTATGGGCACCTTTAGACTCCTGCAATCTACTGTGCGCAGGAGGCTCTGTACAATACAAGGACAGCTGCAGTTTGCAGGCAGTTCACAAGTAAAACACACATGCTACGATTACCTGCAGATGACTGCACCTGAACAGGGAATGTCTGTGTCTAGGTGCGACCACCTGCAGGTAATCAAATTCTGTGCAATTGTTTGTAAATGGACTGCGAACAGCTGCGGATTGCATCATGCACAGCCTCCTTTTTGCAGGTGATCACGATTCTCAATGAGGAATTCATGAGACTCCCGCGATTGGCCCTATTCACAGATGTGAACGGGGCCTAAAGGTGCCCATACACCTTACGACCATCGCAAGACTTTTGTCTTGCGATGGTCGTATGCATATTGAAAGCTCGTACTATCTGCCCATCTTGGACGGGCAGATCGTACTTGCGATCATCGAAAGCCCGCCCCGCTGAGGGGCGGGCTTCCGATGACCGCAATGCAGAACGGGCAGTGTGCGCGTGTGCACACCGGCCCGTTCCACAGCTATCGAACGAGCAGGCTAGAAACCCGCCGACAATCGTACGTTTCTCGGCGGGTTTTCGAGCATGCTGGTTCGACAAAAGACGTGCGACCGTATAGTAGAAACGGTCGCACGTCTTCGTTCACACTGCTCGATTCTCGTACGATCGCGGGATTTCCCGCGATTCTCGTACGAGAATCGAGCAGTGTATGGGCACCTTTACTCTGACATTCTTGATATGTGCACTTGTTTGAGGTTACTAAGTAAAGTACCGAAGGCACTGGGTCAGTGTAGTAGACAGGCAACTAGCACCTTCAGGAAGAGGTCTACAATGGAAGCCTCCAGGAAAGGTTTACTTTACACAGAACCAGCCAAATATACATTAATATTACCAGTGTTGTCAGTACATCACAGTAATCAGTGGTAATCCTATCTGCTATAGATTACTGTACAGGAAGAGAGAGAAACTAGCCAGCATAAGCACTGAGAACACCAGTCTACTAGGCAGAACATGATCTTGTCTGCACATAGGTCTGACTGGAGATGGATTTCAGAGAACCTTTGTCTCTTTTGGCGTCTGCTTTATTTCAGCTCTCCTTTATTTTTGGGACAATGACAAGCTGCAGCTTTACAGTTAATGATCAGCTGAAAACTATTAGAGGAACAGATATTGGAGACAACAATCTAACATCTAACATGTTCTCATAAGTCAACTGCCCAATCTGGTGCCGTGTGAGCTTTATCACTGTATTCCCTATATTGAGGAATATAGGAGAGGTTTTATCCTAGGTGCGGAAAAGGAAGGAATGAGGCCAATCATAGTATGAAGCAGATAAAAAGGAGTTGTTTTTAAACAGTACAAAATGTTAAAAACATTACCTAAGAAAAATTCAAATATTATACTTCTTTAAGCAGTTACCTGAATATCATAACATACGCCCCCCAATATAAATCAGATATTTTAATCTCTCAACTCAGAGTGTCTATTTATACTCGCAGGCAACTTTATAAAATCAGAAAGGCCTGATTTCAGATATACCGATATATGGCACTCTACCAGCATCTTCACTTATGTTTGGATAAACCTTACCTCCACTACACAAAGGGGTCCATATTACCTGGGAGCGGAGAACAGTTTGTAAAAATGGGATATTTAACCTTGGCACAATTTGTTTACCTGAGATATTCTTCTTCTTTTAGCCTTTTGGCTGCCTGTGTAGACCTCTTTATCTGCAAGTCCAGTCTATGAAGGAAGTCTTTGGCAGACAGCTCTTCATCTTGTGTAACTATAGGTCGGTTTGTTTCAGGAGAACCAGGTGGAGAGGTGTTATTAGCTGGAGCTGGAACAGTGTCTCCAGCCTGGATATTGCTAGCTTCTTGAGATTCATTCTCAGGTGAGTCCAGTAAATTAAGTCCGTTGAATAGGGAGCTCTTCTCCGATATAACCGGAATGTTCAATGACTTTCTTAGGAAAATACAATCCGTGGAAAACAGTTTGTTGGCCCTTTTAATTTGTTCCATCTGGAAAATAACAATGAGAAGAATAGTAGGATCATTATGTGGCAATAAAATAAGACATGTATATGGATAACTATAATTATTACTCTAAAAGATCACTCCTCTTCATTTGTCATGAAGCGCCAGTCATTTTTAATAGCACTCCAACGCGCTAGTACAAAACACTTGTGTTGTGGGGAATCTCAATGTACGGCTTTTCTGTTATTCGCGGTACAACTTGCGGTAGCACAAACCGGTTAATGACCTGCAGCACCAACATATGAATGGGCCCTTAGGGTCAGATTCAGGTCAGATTTACGTTAAAGCCTATGCCCTGGAAAGAAAACAATAATAAAAGAAAAAAAAAACCCGCAGTGGGGCTACCCCTGATTTACGATAGAAGTGTGCCACCATGCCCTAAATTTACATAACAAAAAGCGGTGGGACAAACAAAGAAAAATATACACGCAGTATACATACTCCCAGTAAAGATATATAATAAGATCAGGTTATACATTCACAACTTACATTTTACAGTAAGCAAGTTCTAAAAAGTTACACCCCAAAAAGCTTGGTGTACAGGAAAAAGAGAACATAATGATGGGGCTATAAATGATACAATAAACAATGTCCTTCCTTGGTCTGTTCTACAGAAAATCTCTTCATAGCTGAGTTTATGACTTGGGGAAGTATGCTGCAGATATTTCCTTCTGTAAATGCAATTACTGTAATTCTACGTACATCGCTCTTGTTAATGACATATTACGGCGACATTTAAATGGAAAAGGTTTCAGAACTAGCCGATTCCCTTCACCAGTGAATTTATCACATCAGCAACGTAGCTTCATTTACATCAAATACGTTTCCTGTAGAATCTAAACTAAGTCTGTGTGCACACACGTATAATTCCACTTTTCTGATTTCCAGTGATGAAGATGATCTGAAGACACTTTAGTTTTTACTATTATAATCATTTTCTGTGGAGTTCTCTGGAAGATTTCCACCTTAACTACTAAAAGTATTTTCCCTATATTCTACAAAGCTTGGGACCACAATTACCATTCTCCTCCTCAGTGCCTTCTCTACTATAGTGGTGCAGTGGTTAGCACTTCTCCCTTGCAGCACTGGGGGTCCCTGGTTCCAGTCCTGGTCAGGACACCATCTGCATGGAGTTTGCATGTTCTCCCTGTGCTTGGGTGGGTTTCCTCCCACACTCAAAAGACATGCTGGAAGGTTAATTGGCTCTAGCATTTGTATGTGAGAGAGGGACCTTAGATTGTAAGCTCCTTGAGGGTAGGGACTGTAAATGTACAATATGTAAAGCACTGTGTAAATTGTCGCCACTATATTAATACCTGTAATAAGTACATTCACACTCCATCCCTCACCCTTTTTTCTAAAGGGCTAATTATGCCAACACATTTACCAATTCCATAATGGGTACACCACACCCATCCAAAGCCCATAAAACAGGATAAAGCAAGGCGGCACACCACAGGTTTCATGTAAAGCCCTATTCACATTTGCTATGAGCTTAAAGTAGAATGTAACTCTCTTTTTTTGCATATATCCACTACTAGCAAGTAGTAGATAAATGCAATATACATAAAATACATTTAAAAAAGTTACCAAATAGGTAAATACTTACCTGTGTCTCCGCCGCTTGATGCCATCCAAAGATCTCAAGATTCTCCAATGGCCATGAAGGATAATGGGGCGGGCGCATGCGCAGTACAGATCTTCGGCGGGGAGAAGAGGAGAGACACAGGGTAAGTCAATGCACGCGGCCAGGAGCGTGCACGTGCAGAGAGCACCGTGGGCCACAGAAGACCCAGCAGTCAGCGCTGGATCAGACACCGACACCAGCGCTGAAAATTACTGGAAAGAAGATGATTGGATCAAGAGGCATCATCCTTAAATCAACATGGGGGGAGGGGACATTTGTGATTTAATGTCACTTTAAATGCATGCAGAATGGTGCAATGCTGTGTGCATTCACAAAACACACAAAAAGCGCATGTGATGCTTGAGGTGCTATTCATTATTAATGGCACCTCAAACGTGGCAAGCAAGAAACACACTAGAGACACATGTCCAAAGAAACATGTGATGCTCACAGCTCAACAGCTGCATGAGCTTCTGTGCCGTGTTTGTCGCCCATTAAAATGAACGTGCTGTCCTGTGTGCGGACACACGTAAAACACACAAAAGCACTACATGCGTTCATGTGCGTACCAAGTGTGAATGGGGCCTAAAAGCACAACAGGTTTTAGACAATCTGATTGAACGGAGGAAACCTTGACCTGTTTTGGACAATGTAACACAAAACACACATTTGAAGCACTGTTTTGGCTGCCACAAGAGGACCTCCTCTTACCCCCAGTCACACTTGTCATTTTGAAGCTTTTTGATTTTTGCATGTTGAAACAACTCGAGTCTTTACTGATCTTGGGAATGAATACCTTCACAGTGAAAGCAGCTGGAGAGGTCAGGGATGGCTGGCTCGGAATACCTTGCACAGTTGTACATACACAAATGACTTTCTCTGATTTTACAGCACGCTGTGAGCTTTTCTCTGTGTGCTATACAATCTGCAGCAAGTCAGATAGAACCTGCCTCATTTTCTGGCTGGAGGAGGTCCAGTATCATTTATTTCTTTCCTCTACAGCCTTGCTGTCTATGGTCAGCCCCTTTCATTCATTGGATTTCAGTTCTTTCAAACATGGAGGCTCAGCGTCACATGTGGGCTTTCCCAAAGCTTCCCGTTTCCATGCAGCTATGTACAGCACCCTGCCGGCCCCTCCCACCATCTGTCTGCATTACACAGAGTAAAGAGATGATGTCGCTGGGAATAAAATTAGGAAGTCATGAAAATAGATGAGTTATATTTAAACCTTTCATTAGCATGTTGATTGGAAAAGGAGGAGGGGAGGTCCGGGGAAGACACAATATAAGCAGACCAAACTTCAGCTCTAATGGCCATAGACTGCACAGATGTACTTTAAAGCTGAACTCTATAAAATGCGCACATTAATGCAGCTCTGTCATCAATAATACATCATGAAATGTATTGTATTTTCAAAGAAGAACGTCAGGGAAAAATAATAATAACCCTTGCAGTGGGCAACCCCCATAACACAAGGGCTAAGTGCTCGTTTTTGTCTACGTGCTAAAAAATAAATAAATACAAATGTTATACTCACCCAACCATCCGAGCCGGCTCCATGCTTCTGTAATCACTGAACTGGGTGTCCCCTCCACTGCACTAATGGAATGCTCCTCTGCATCCTCACATCTATATACAGTCTATGTACAGTGTATAGAGCGCAAGGACACCAGGATCCCCAGACCGCTGCAGCACAGGGGGGAAGACGCTCCAGATAGCAGTCTAAGAGAAAGCCAACTTTGATGGTCTGGTGAGTATAGCTTTTTTTCTTTTTAGTACCTAGACACAAATGGGCACTTAACCCTTGTAGTGCAGGGGTAGCCTTCCCCTGGAGTTCTTATTTAATGCAAGCAGTGTAATTACCTGAATGTATCAGCCTCCTGATGTCTACTGTAGTCTGTGCAACAGAGCTCAAAAAGAAGGAGGGGGGGCAGCACAAGGCACATGCAAAAAAGAAGGTGCATTCTGTTAGGAGGAGAGATTGGGGTGACAGAGGGATGAGCTCATTCTCCTGCTGCTTCCAATGTCACTGTTCAGTTCCAGTTTGGGAGTAGGGAGGGGCCATCTAAATGGAAGTAAACCTGAAGCAGTGAAAGATTAGGTCCCCTCACCCGCTAGACAGGGCTGTGCGGTGTGTCAATCTCAAAATTGCATGGATCCAAATACAAGTTGTTTGGTAGTTAAAACAGCTCTCATATATACTGTATATTTCCCTGTGTATTTAGCAGTTTAGGGTGGAACGTTTTTTATATGTTGCACGGTGATGTCATGAACATGGAAATATATTGCTTTGTTGATCTTGTTACATATGACTAGAGCTGGAACCAGGATATATTCTGCAGTGTCTTCAGAGATAGAAATATATTGCTTTGTTGGTCTAGTATTCTACATATGACTAGAGCTGGGACCAGGATATATTCTGCAGTGTCTTCAGAGATAGAAATATATTGCTTTGTTGGTCTAGTATTCTACATATGACTAGAGCTGGGACCAGGATATATTCTGCAGTGTCTTCAGAGATAGAAATATATTGCTTTGTTGGTCTAGTATTCTACATATGACTAGAGCTGGGACCAGGATATATTCTACAGTGTCTTCAGAGATAGAAATATATTGCTTTGTTGGTCTAGTATTCTATATATGACTAGAGATGGGACCAGGATATATTCTGCAGTGTCTTCAGAGATAGAAATATATTGCTTTGTTGGTCTAGTATTCTACATATGACTAGAACTGGGACCAGGATATATTCTGCAGTGTCTTTGGAGATAGAAATATATTGCTTTGTTGGTCTAGTATTCTACATATGACTAGAGCTGGAACCAGGATATATTCTGCAGTGCCATCAGATATAGAAATATATTGCTTTGTTGGTCTAGTATTCTACATATGACTAGAGCTGGGACCAGGATATATTCTGCAGTGTCTTCAGAGATAGAAATATATTGCTTTGTTGGTCTAGTATTCTACATATGACTAGAGCTGGGACCAGGATATATTCTGCAGTGTCTTCAGAGATAGAAATATAGAGCTGGGACCAGGATATATTCTGCAGTGTCTTCAGAGATAGAAATATATTGCTTTGTTGGTCTAGTATTCTACATATGACTAGAGCCGGGACCAGGATATATTCTGCAGTCTCTTCAGAGATAGAAATATATTGCTTTTTTGGTCTTGTATTCTACATGACTAGAGCTGGGACCAGTATATATTCTGCAGTGTCTTCAGAGATAGAAATATATTGCTTTGTTGGTCTAGTATTCTATATATGACTAGAGCTGGGACCAGGATATATTCTGCAGTATCTTCAGAGATAGAAATATATTGCTTTGTTGGTCTAGTATTCTATATATGACTA